CTTGGTTCAAAGCCGAAACTCCGGTGGCTTTATTCCGGCGGGTTGCTGGCCATTGCTGCTTTGGCTCAAACAAGTTTTTCTTGTTGCTGAGTTCGTTATTCAACTTCGGTTTGATTGGAGTTTATAGTGACGAACCAGCAACAAGAAGAGCATGTCCGACGTCAAAACTTCATCTACCGCTGCCCGAATCACCACCACTGCCGCACCACCACTGTCTCGGACACTCGATTTTCTGGTACACCCTAATCCCTTGTGTCCCCTTTTTTTTTCTTTTACTTTCTGTTTCATTGTAGTTTGCTTAGGTCTAAAATTTCTGATTTGTTTTCTTCTTTGTTTGATCATGTGTTTTATTTATCTTTAGTTAGCTATTAGTTAGTTTAGAGTCAGTAATGATTAGTCGTCGCTCGTTGATCTCAAATTATTTTGTTGTTCGGATTCCTATCTCATAAGTTCTGCTAATGGTGTTTGAAGTTAGTTGTATTTTCAAGTTTTAAATTATAGCTTCAATTGCAGTTTCTGTTATTTCACGTTTAATTCGTCGTGCTAATTAACTGAAGTTTCAAAGTTTTTGGACTCTAACTAGAACCTTAATCCTTTCTTTAGGTTTCTGATTTCTGTTGCCTACTACTTTATTGTAGTTATTGCAGTAGTGTAAGTTTTGTTAGTGGTCGATTTTAGTTCGTTTTCTATCTAGTTTTCAGTTTCGACTTCGCTTAGTGAAACTTTTTCACTAAGTTTGTTTTCTCTGTTAACATGTGTTTTGCTTGGTTTGATTTTAGTCATTAGGTTTTAAGTTCTCTTGGTTGATTAATGGTTTAGTGTTAAGTTTTCAGTTACATGTTTGTGGTAGATCAACTATGTTCTGGTTACTTGGTTTCCATTTGTTTTGAATCACATGGTTGGTACTGTTGTTGTTAAAAGCTGCAGGGTAGATGAGTAATCATGTGTTAGGGGTACACTAGCAACTTATTTTTAGTACTAGGGTGGCTGAAATGACTCTTTGCTTCTGCCATAGCAGATCTCAGGCTGTCCTTTCACCTTTGGACAGTCCTAGAGCAGTGTTTGGTGAACAAAAGTCAGTCTTTTTGGACAGACTTTTGGAAAACCAAAAGTTGTCCAAAAGTGACTTTTCTTGCTTACTTAAGGGGGTGCTCCTTTCATATTTAAAGGGCATCTATCTTACATTGAGAAAAAAGATCTTTACACTCTAACACACTGAGCCATCATCTTTTACACTTAAAAAAAAAGGGAGCAACTAAAAGTGGATAGAACTTCCTGTTGTTTAGCTAAAAACATTTCCAGAAAGAAGCACATGAACTCTTGATGTTTCTCTTCTAGGTTCTGGTTTTTCAAACACATCATCGATTTCTGCTTCTTACTGAGTTCTGGGTTTGATTACTGCTGAAATTCTACTGCTGTTGCTGGTTCGCTCTAACTGAAATTGTTTGTTGTTCTGTCACTCGACTTCTTTCTTTCTACTTCTACGAACTAGGTATTTCTTCTAACTTTGTAATCTATTTCTTAGTTGCATAAAGTTGTGGTGATGATGTGCTAAGAATATATTTTGACTGAATACATGGTTCTTTGAATGGAAAATTGATTTAGAATGGCTATTTGGATCTGCTCATGCATTTTAATTCAATTTTTCTGGTTAGTTATGGAAGTTAAACTGCTGGATGATGAAATATGTAGTAGAATAAGTTTCAGTTTTGTGTTTTCGCTTCAAGTATTCTAGGTTTCCTGTTAAACTAAGACAACATTTGTATTTGCCTCTATTTTTGATCTAAACACGGATGTGGTTGAGAGTTTTCATTAGTCTAATGGTATTCCGGTTTGAGGAATTCAAGGAGTTTTCTGTTAGTCTTTCTTTAAGTTGTATATGATTATTTTAGTTTTCTAAGAAACTATGATAACAGATTCGACTCGCGTGAGGACATAGTTTAGTTTAAGGAACAAATAGATACAAGATCGATTTAAAATCTTCCGATAGCTAATAGCTTAGAGTAAATGTTTGAGTTCAATTTAAAAATCCATCAGTGAAACTATACCTCGTATTTTGAGATATCTTGTTACATAAATATAATATTAGCTTCTTTTTCTTCTTCTTTTAGTTTAAACAGAAGACACACGTTAGAAATTTTAATTCTTTTTTATGGATTCTCCAAGGGGTTTTAAGTAGAAATGAGTGTTTAAAGATAAAAGAAGAATGTGTGTGACTACTGGGTATTTCGTTTATTGCCAATTGGGAATAAAAATGTTTTGAACCACGGCCTTGAGAAAAGTTTTCTTTTCTGAAATGTTTCATTCTTCTTAAGTGCTGAAAATAATTTCAAGTGATTGCATATTGTGAAAGAAAAATTATGTGAGGTTTGTTTGAGAGTTAGTAATCGTTTCTTTGGTGTTCTTAACAGAAGGGCAGTTTAAATCTTTAGCTTTTCAGAATTTCATGTCAAGGAACGTTTGTGAATTTGAGGAAGTTACAGCAAGGGGTTTGTTCATGTCAATTGCTAAAGTGTAGTTAGTAATACATGTCATGTGATTATTAAAGAATATTCTCTTGGTTAGAATTTTGGTTGGCTACTAAATCCATTGGGCCATGTTGGACACAAAATGAATTATGGGTAAAAATGAAATTGATTTCCAGAACCACAACAACGAAAGTCACAAGTTGGACCAAGCTTTAAAGTGTCATGTTTCCACCAATTAATTTCAATAAAAATCATATTTTTTTTACCAATTAATTAACTCATTTTTTATTAATTAATTTAAACGCTAGGCAAATAGTAGGCACGCTTTAACTTTGCGGAATCGCTTGCGTAGCGTGATGTTTAACATTTCAATCAATTAATCAACTAATTCCATACCTTATCCGATAGTTTAGTTTAATTTATAATTTTATCATTTGTCATATCGCGGATTCGCTTGCGTAGGGCGATAGTAATTTTCAATAAATTTCAAAAAATTAATTTCTTCAAGTGTAGTAACCTTTTTTTTTAGTAATAACGTACTAATAATCCTTGTCCTAACTGCGGATTCGCTTGCGTAGCGCTGTTTTGATAAAATTAATAAATTTTGTCTCGGTCACGTATTCGCTCGCGTAGCGTGGTTATGACAACATAATTTTATCCAAAAAATTATTTTTTCTCAATAAATCTAATAATCAAGAAATAAAAAGCAGATAGGTAAAACATGAAAAATACATATAAATCACAGTTTGTCCAAAATTAATTCAAGCCAAGTTTAAGTCAATAAAGCGACCGTGCCAGAACCACGGGACTCGGGGAATGCCTTATACCTTCTCCCCGGTCAACAGAATTCCTTATCCGAACTTTGTTTTCGCGGACCGATAAAAATAGAGTCAAACCTTCCTTTGACTAGGGATTCAAATAAATGGTGACTTGGAACACCGAAAAATCAATTCCAAGTGGCGACTCTGAACAATAAAATAATCCCTACTCAAGTTTTGTCACTTTAATTGGAAAAACTCTTTAACCCATACATACATATTTTTCGGGGAGTAGAAAAGGGGTGTGACATGTGGTAATCTTTTTCCATATTCCCTGACTATAGCTGTGTTTAAAGCATAAAACTCCTTATTTAACTTTGCACTAGAATTCCAAGATGCATCAGCTTGCACACTGATAAGAATGAGGGAACCATTTCTTTAGCAAATGGTGTTTCAGCTTCATAACCAAAACAAAAATTCCGTAGCATGGTATGTGCATTAGCGCCACGGATGAATACCTGAAAGAGATTTCATGTTCTTGATCAACAATTATTTCCAAAATAAAATTTGCAAATTCTTATCGTATAGTTTGAGACTTTGGACGAATTACATACCATAGAGGAGAAAACGAAGATGCAAGATCAAGGAATGGATATGGCCACCTGTTTCCAAAATCGAACCAGTATTGATTAGTTGTTTAAAACGGAAAGATGTAAAATGTATGTAACTGCAGTATGGGAAAAGAACAGTTTTGTTATTACCAAATTGAGATGCAGGCATGGACTGCCCACTGGAAAACAACATAAACTGCTGTCCACAGAAAGAAATATCCAATTCGAAACCAAGGGAAACGCTGAAATGATTACATTATGGAATCAGACGACGTTAATTATATGAAACGTAAATTATGAAGACGATTTTTGAGGTCAATAATTCAACCTACCAAGCAGTTGAGAGCTGTATCACCAAGTAGAAACACAACATTGATTGAATGCATGTTTATAATCCACTGCAACATAGTTGAAAGATCAATTAGAAAACACATCTCTGACTCTGAGTGCATACAAAGAGGAGGGAAGTGTAGCATTCTTAGCATACTTACAAAATTTAAATTGTAGCCTCTAATTGTCAGAAATGGGACGAGTACAAACCAGAAGACACAATCAGTAAGTGTTACAGCTCCAGCATTCATCTAAGGAAAAATAAGACAAATGTTAACAATGTGTATAATTAAGATTAAGTTGTTCTCTTTTCATCTTGAATTTCATTGAAGTAGAATTGCAATAGGCCTTGTCATAATATGTTCATTTTACCTGGAAAATTATCTGAAAAAGATATCCCCAGAAGTCAGCAATTTGGCGTGAATTCTGTCCTGCATTTTCCCCTACCTGTTTTGCAGCATTTGAACTGCTGGTACTTTCTACATTCATAGACAATCTTCGCGAACCATACTCAGCGTCTAATCTCTCGTTATTAATCCCATCACCACCAACCTTATTGTGATATTGGTAACATCCATACATTGAAAGCACAGATCCAAGCTACATAAATATAACAAGAAATCATGAGTTAAATCATAGACTAAAAACAAAACAAACATTGACTTCAGTGTTGCTATCACTTACCCCAAAATAAATAGTGATCAATGTGAATGTCCACCTGTTCAGCAGACAATACATATCAAATAAGCTTTCATTTCAGTTAAAGGAAATCATTTGGATATACCATGAATTTGATTGAGAAAGTACTTACTGTGTATAGTAGTAAAAGATTTCTCCTCCATCAACAGCAACATTTAGGATTAGCATTAACAAGAGAACTAAAAAGGCGACGACTCTATATCCAAGAAGCCAACCAGGATGTATAGTTTTAAGGCATGGTTTCCAAACTTCATCATCATACAAGAGTCCAGGGGAATCTTTCTGCTGTTCTCTGCTCCTATTCCTCGAATCGCGAGGACCTTCATACTTTGTTATAAGAATGGATGCAAAAACCATAGAAGCTAAAATCCAAATGGAGCAAAGCATAACCTTCCAATTAAACCAGTAACTTGATGTTGTTGTATCAACAGTCAAGGCTGGTTGCCATGAATTTTTTGGTTCTCCTGTCAGAAAACTCATTATATCAACACTTCTCACTTATTTAGAAAACTCTCCACAAAATTGGCCAAAGGTACAGAAATGTTTGAATTATCCACAACACTAAAGAATGTTCTTGTTTTTAGCTTTTTCTTTACTTTTTATTCAAAAGAATTGAATAAATACAAAGAATTGAAATCCCAAAAATCTTTAAGGTAAAGATGAAAACTTGAAGGAACAAAGTTGAAATGGAGAAAGCAAGAATGAAATTCTCATAGAAATGTCAAGAAGCCAGGACTTAGTAGAGACCAAAATTCAATAAAAAAGCTAAGTAAAAGGGTCCAGTTATGGCATCCCATAAGGGAAAAATAGAGAAGAAATCTGAAAGATTATATAACAGGAAAAACTGTAGACAGTTTTATAACAGCTTTAGCCTTGAGGAATGAGGGGGTGGTCAAGAATGCAATAACAAATAATATGATATTGACCTACATTTGATATCTGAAAGTAAGCAGAGATTCCAAACTTTCAGCATGCATTTGCACAAAAAGATATAATGAAATTAATATAATTTTGAAATAAAAGGTGGGAAAAAGAAGGTAAGTTGTTAATTGCAAGCAAAGGAAAGATAGGATACTTACAGGGCAAAGCAAGGCAAGGTGGTGGTGTGTAAGAATATATGCTTTGCTTCTTTGCTTTGCAGGAATCAATATTTTTAAGAAAATAAATAAATAAATAAATAAATTGAAGAGAGAGGACAAAAAGGATGGTGTTCTTAGAGCATAAGCTTCTTTATTTGTTATCCCAATAATAGGAGTAGTCTATCATCCAATGTCACAATCTCAATATTCCCATGCAAATATTAAATTCTTATTAGACATACATGATATGTCACCCCTTTTTCTGGTATAGTTTTATAGCCTTATTGGACCCACCTGTCTTATTTAAGGAAAGTTTGTGTTGCATTTGCTAGTGATTCTTCTTTTAACACAAAACACACACAAAAAAAAAAAAAAAAGTATATGCAAGTACAGGTTTGTGAGCTCCCAATAAAGAGATACTGTTCTTTGTAAAGTTTTTGATATGATAGTATTGCAAGAATTCAAGATTTGTCATTTGCACTTTGAAAATTTGTATTGACTCAAACAATTAGTTCTCTACTACTACAAATTGAGGAGCATTTCCAATGGAAGAATGCTAGAATTCTCATTAGTTGATTTTAAAGTAGATTAATTATTTTAAGTAAACATGATTTGAAGTGATTATTCCAATTAGTCTAATAATTGGATTCCCAATTGTTAGATTTTATTTGAGTCTTTTCTTTAAGAAAATACAATAATTTTAAAAGGAATAAATGAATACGATAATGTGTATGTCGGATGTCCTATTGTTGAAGTGTATAACTATTTCATTTTAAGCTTTTAGATAAAGTGATCATACATTTCAATATGATAACATTGCACACAAAGATCATTGACTGAATCCTAATATCCCTAATTATAAAAAGAAACTCCAACTTGTTTGCCCCAATATAAAAAGTTGGCCCCTCACGTTGATAAGATATGTTGAAAATATAACTAATATCATCTTGACAACTTAAACTTTTGATTAATACCTAACAATATCAAAATAAATAGAGTTCTACATTTCAAGAAGAATTGTCGCGTAATACAGTGTTAAAATGGTACAATTTACTGGCGTTTTTTCACTTTTTGTGTACCAAAATTTTAGTAACTACGAGATCTAGATATATCATCGGTGTTTGAGGAAAATTATGAAAGATAAAGACAAAAAAGGAAGGAGCATAATATAATGTTTCAATCATAAGAAATGAGGAGGATGAAGAGGCAAATCAGGTAGGGCCCACTGTCCTACACTCATACTACGACGAGAGCCCAGATAGTTAATTAGTCACATGGTTCGCGTACACGCTATTAGGCCCAAACACGAGTAGTCTTTACTCTTTAAGCCCTTGTTTTAAGGTTATTTGGACTCTTGTCCGTGAAAGGGGCCCACAAATTACCTGTAATTTGTCCCCTTTGTTTTGGACTTGAAAAGGTAGCCAAGTTTGATTCGCAAAGCAAAGCTGAAAGTCTAGATTCCCACTGTAGTTTTTTCCTTTTCTTCGCTTGTGATTTTCCTTTTTCCAATAAGAAGTTGGAGGTAAATGCCAGATTATTAGAAAGACTCATTAGCAATTGAACAAATTTTAAAAAATTAAGCTCATTGCTTAACTGCCGAATGGAGATATTACACCCGTGATTAAGTGGCCAATGGGCTACATAGTAGAGGAATATGGGCACGTGCTTTCTTTAATTTTGAGATTTCTTTCATGATAATTACTTAGCAACAAATAAGACAAAGTTCAAAAAGTAACTTACAATAAGCAAGTATAGCTACTATGACGGTGTTTGGATTGACTTTTAAGCTGATCAAATCAATTTTTAAGTTTTTTCTCGCTTTTTGTAGTGCTTGGCAAATTTATAAAGTGCTTAAAGTAAGTTAAAAACTGCTTAAAACAAGCCAAAAGCAATAAGTTGGATAATCCCTACTTGTTGGTTTTTGGTTTAAAAGTTATTTATGCTGAAAAGTCACTTTTTTTTAAGCGAATCCAAACGGAATTCTATGTCAATGACGTTACTATATTGTAATTTGTAAAGCAATCTGTTGTCTGCTAATGATTGCTTCGATCACAGGAAATTTCTCTAGTTTTAAGACTGTTTTTTGTCGGCTTAAGACACACACAAAAAAAAAATAACACCATCGATACCCCAATTTGTTCACGCTCTCACTTATCAAGTGTAAAAATAACTTTTGAAACAAAATTTCCCTAAATTGATCTATTTTCTTACTTAAATACTTGAAACTATAGAAAAACCATAGTAAGCTGCGATTCTAGTCATATCAAAATGATAAAAATATTCTAAAGTGTCGGCCAAAATTCACTAGTTTGAATGTCAAGGGAAAAGTGAGAATTTATAAAACTTCTTACTTACTGCGCTTTTTCAGTGGAGAGCTGTAAAATTGCAATATTATCTCTATGCCGAAACATCAAACTTGATTTCGGTCAGACACACTCAGACAGGTTTATATGATCTTTTAAAAGTCTAGACTCTTTAGAGATAATACTTTTTATCATTTCGTTATAAAAATGGCAAAAGCCAATTTGATCTTTGGAATTTCCCATGAATTGATGCCACTGACTAACGAGGAATAAAAGATTCTAAACAAAACATATACCAGTAGGCTTGTATATGGATGGGTGGGGCAGATAGTCGATTTTTTCAAGTATTTGTTCCCTGCTTCTTCTTTCCTATATATTTTTTTTTTTTCAGAACTAAAACTTAAGAATCAGTATTCCACAACATGATTTCATACATAATCAAAGAGAGAAGAATATTATACTCCCTCTGTCTCAATTTATGTGGCAGAGATTTGAAAGTTAAATTTCTTAATTTTGACTGTGAAATCGGACATAAAATCTTCAAAACTTTTGAAATAAAATTTATATATTTGAAAACTACATATAAAATACTATAAGTCACATTAATTAATAATTTAAAATATTTAACAGGCATATGGAAAAAAAATTACAGTCAAAGAAAAAAAATTGTTTGACTCTCGAAATCGGAGATATTCGCCACATAAATTAGGATGGAAGGAGTAGTATTATGACATGGAAGATGCAACAGAATTACATGAAAAAATTATATACATTTGACTCTCGAAATAAGAAATTGTCGCCACATAACTTGGGAAGGAGGGAATAGTATTATGACATGCAACAGAATTGCATGAAAAATCAGTAACTGTAGTTTCCACCAAAATAGGGAAATTCAGTGGTTGTACCGCGAAAGGAAAAAATTCCAAGCGCGTCACCATAATTGGATAGTTGCACAAAAAGCACTGTTGCGAGGAAGAACTTTAACTCTTTTTTATTTCAACAGGGTTCCAAACGTTCACTCACATGTTTCTTACTCCATAAGGTATGGCACTTATGGGTATATATATTCGTCTTTGCTAATATACCTCTATTACTTTATTCAGCACAAAATGCGTGTATTAATTCATGCATTAAAATATGGTAAACGCCTCTAGTGTTTCTCATGCCCACCCAGTGGCGGTGGTAGCATTACCGCCAAGGATGTTCAAAAATGAAAAAAGTTAGAAAGGTTGTCCCAAGGAGGTTCAAAAATGAAAAAAGTTTAGAAAGGTTGTAATTAGTGGGAATAGAACCAATGACCTTATAAAGATTTTGAACTCCCTTGACCACTAAGCTATGTTTTTGGATTGTGTCAAGAGATTCAAAACATAATATATAAATGTAAAAAAATAAATTTTCCTTATATATATAGTGTAATTTTTCGACAAAGGGGGTTCAGGTGAACACCCTTCTGCCCCCTAAATCCTCCCCTCTGCCCACCAAAGACGAACCACGGATTAACAGTATTCTGTTCAACTAGTGCCCCCTAAAGGCTTTTAGTGTTCAGGGTGCCAAGTACTTTAGATTAACCATTTCAAGGTATATGCATATAACATATACATGATTTCTACCGAAGCTTACGAGGTCCGGACAGCGGTGGAGCCAGAATTTGAAGTTTGTGGGCTTGAAATTCTAGTTCGTTTATGTTATTGGGTTCTAAATTAACAATTTATACATATTCAATGCGTTTATTAAGACAAATACGTAGTTTAGACCAAAGTTACTGGGTTCGGCCGAACCCGCAAATCATATGCTAGCTCTGCCCCTAGGTCCGATGACCCCTCACCATAACACATAGGTCCGCCTCTGATGCCCACGGGGAAGAGAACCAACAGTACGCAAAGAATAAGCAACTTGATATATCAAAAGTTTTTTTTACGTCTGTCACTGTAAAGGAGAAAATACAACTACTGTGATAAACAAACCAAGGCGTTCAAGCAAAAACAAGCCCTCTCCTCAAGAAAAGGGTTAAAAATGATGTCATTTGGCACCTAATAAATGAACCTGAGAAGCTCTTCTTAAATTCGGATAATTAGCTTACAAGAATTAATTAACATATGTTATACTCTTGAAATGCTTGCTCTAAGATGGAGTTGCGAAAATGCATACATTCAGAAAGGAAGCAGCACAGACATGATAGATAGAAACAACACAGAAATATGGAGAGAAAGGCTGAAGGGCACACCTCTCATTTGAAGCTACTGGAGATGCACCAAGTCTGGTTCAACTTAGGCTCCTCAAGTTTTAGGAAAATGGTAGGAGTCGAAGCTTTATGATAGATGTAACGAGCAAAGACAAAGTTACAGGGAGAACTGAACACTCACTTATTGACAACATTTTCAGGGAAATACCAAGAGAATGGCAAAACAGAATAACAGATTGGGCATTTCTAACTAATTTGTTCTTTATAGCTATTTTACTTTACAAGAGAGTTCTTTAAGTGAAACATTCCAAGACTCAGCAGCAATGCGAACACTGATAATTTTTAGCCGAAAATGTCACTGCTTGTCATGATGTTCAAAGTTCAAGAATTTTATACCTATACAAATAGAAAAAAAGAAATTTTATTGAGCCAGAGGTCCGCGTAATTTGATTTCTTAAACTTGAAAGATGTGAAACCAATTACCATCATATCTAAGAATATAGATTCCTAAAATACAAATGTTACAATTCTCAATTACCAATATATATATATATATATATATATATATATATATATATATACACACATACAATTCTCGCGAGACTAATGTCTTCAGCAACCAAACGGGAAACCAATTCACTATCTGTTTGGGTAGTTCAAGCAACACAAGTATAATCTCTATGAGAATGACGCCATGAAAAACCAAGCCGAGAGGCTCCATTAGATGACAGCGTTGAAACAACATAATGATGTGTGAAACGAAAATGCTCAGCTTTCATAACAATTAGCAACGACTGAATTAAGAGGCCACAATTAGTGTTGTAAGAAGCGCAACGAAGATGTTTCTTATGAACTAGGACTCCTCGTTTAGAGAATTAGAGTGATCCTTAAACATTCATAAATATAGGTCGAGAGTGGACATAACAACAACAGGCCTATTAAGCGGGTAATGTTAAATTTTGCTACAATAGCATGGTGATGCTCACTAGCTCAAGCCAACGAAGATGATAGATCAATGAAGGAATGTATAAATCAGAAAGTTGGGTAAACTATGGACTCGAATGTCTACAATTTCTCAGACTCATTGTGTTTCATGTTGCAAGCATTTACGCGTAACATGCTACTCTTCCCAACGCTAAAATGCATGGACTCATGGACTGGATTTCAACCATAACATCATGCATTTTTCTTAAGGTTTTAAAAGTGTGCAGCGCTTGTAAAAACATGACTATCATATCGAACAATTAGACAGCAGAACTTTGTCACAATTGCTTGAACATCAACAACAGCAACCCAATGAGATCCCATAGGCGGGGGTCTCGGGAGGGTAGTGTGTACGTAGACGTTACCGGTAGACCCTCGGCGCAAGAAGGAAAGAGACAGTGTATCAGTAACAGCAAAAGAATCCAGAAAGGTAACACCAGCAACGCAATAACCAGAAAAAGAGTATCCATACTAAATTTAAAACCCTGAAATATAAATTTCATCTCCATATAACTACCATAACAAAATCATCTATTGGAAAACAATGTAACCCATAAGAACCAAAACAGATCCAAAACATAACATAAACGAAGGCAAAAAAGACTTCACAGGCAATCTAGAAAAGAGAGGTTCCCTTTCCTTTCTTGTCTCCACCAATTTCAAAGTGCTTGCACCTCTGCATAACCAAAGAAAATGATTAGCTTGCAGAATATGAAACGCAAGCACAACTGCAGTGCAAAGATCAACCAATAACAAACCTTGATTGGGTGCTGGGAAACATGTTTGCAACCTTGGCATTGCAACCTCAGCACAATCTTCTTTGTGGTTTTTGCCTGGTGTATAATTGCAAAAGAAAGGGGTCAGTAATTCCTCAACCAGAACACCAAATACAATGCTAAATCACCGAAAAGCTTCATATTCTTTCTGGCATTTGTTCTTATACTAATAATCCAATCTTTTAACAAAACAATACTTCTATTTACATGGCATATGCTACCTTTTTGTGGAAGACGGGCTTTGTCTGACCACCATAACCTGACTGCTTCCTATCATAACGACGCTTTCCCTGAGCAGCCAAACTATCTTTCCCTTTCTTGTACTGTGTAACCTTGTGCAAGGTATGCTTTTTGCACTCCTTGGACTTGCAGTAGGTCTTCTTTGTCTTAGGAACGTTCACCTGCAACAGCCACATTGAACAGTCACTTATTATGCCGCAAGGAAGAAAAGGGCCATTCAAATCCAAAATACACAAAGAAATTATAATACCACTATGAGATACTCAATGAGGGTAATAGTGCATCCTAATTCCTAAAAACCCTCAACAAAGGGATTCAACCTTTGTCATACAGTAGTATAGCAATTAAACCACAATTCCAATTCTGGTGTCCATCTCATTTCAGCACAATGTTTTTCATTTCAAGAACAATAGGTGCTAGAACACTAACTAAAATTATGTAGCTTTTGAGCATGAGCTATAATTAATCCTGCATGGCTACAGCACAGAAACATGAACTTGCAGCTACTCAATTTTCAAACTAGAATGTGCACAGAAACAAAATACCACAAAACAGTAAATACAACAACTATATATCACCAAACAAGAAAATCAAATGTAAAGCTTGTTAGACTCGTGTACTATCTAACCAAGTGAAGAACGATTAGTCATTCCATCTAGTTCCCAAACTAAGTTTAGGTATATTCCTAGTCTCCTATGTCAAAGAAACGTTTCACAACGACGAGATTTCTAAGTTTCGATGTGACAATAACCATTTCACTGATTGAATTGGTATACTACTATCGCATACAAAATTGATAGAAATCGAAAAGACGGAAATAGATGTATTACCATTTTCGCCGGCCGAGATTTAGACAGAAATAGCAGAGAGCACAATTGCCGTTCAGCTGGTGCCGATCGAAAGCCCTAAGACGCGAAAAGAGGATAAGTTTTATACTCCTGACTTAGGGTTATGACATGATAGACTTGGCCGGTGGGTTCTGAATGTAGGCCGAAAATAATGGGCTACAGTTAAAAATATGTCATTGGGCTTACTGTTGTATGGACTCAGGTAAAAATGGCGTGTAGTAGCCACTAATTAAGGGTGTCTTTAATTTTTATCCACTAATTACAATGCTCAGCAAAAATAGCCACTACTAATAGGGAAAAGATACATTTATCCTTTCTTCAATGCGCTTATAATGCCAAAATGCCCAAAAACCCTTATTTTTCATTCAGACGAGGGAAAAGCATTTGAGAGGGGTTTCAGGGCAAGTTGCGTCTTCTCTACTACTTCATCATCCTCGCATGCAAACGATCTTCAGTTAATCTTTCTGCTCCTTCATCTTCTCCGTCATCTTCTGTGAATCGATCGCGACTGGTAATATATTTTTTTTTTATGCATTTTTGTTTTTCTATATATATAATCGGGTTCAATGCTGTGTGAAGTATGTGTGAAATTTCAAAAATGATCATTATATGTTGATTCAGTGTCGGAGATGTAGTGTGATTCTGTTATTCAGAAATTTTTAGTATTGAAATGTGAAATGTGTTTGTGGTTGATTCAATATATTTGATTATGTAGGGATATTTCATAAAAATAGTCGTAAAAATTCATAACCTTACTGTGTTTATGAATTTTTAGTTAACTATGTTCATGAAATATAAGAAAGAAACGACATTAAATTTTGAAGTTGGAACTCAAAGTTAAGGACTGATTGTCCTTAACTTTTGCACATGAAACTTGAAGTTAAGGACCAAGTGTCCTTAACTTTGGAAGTTGAAACTATAAGTTAAGGACTGCTTGTCCTTAACTTTTGCACTTAAAATTTGAAGTTAAGGACCAAGTTTCCTTAACTTTTCAACTTGAAACTATAAGTTAAGGACTGCATTTCCTTAACTTTTAAACTTGAAACTTTAAGTTAAGGACTGCTTGTCCTTAACTTTTGTACGTGACACTTGAAGTTAAGTGTAACTATAACTTTGTTTTCTTTTTCCTTCTTTTGTAGTGTGATAATGGAAGGAGATCGTGTGTTCGAGTTTGAGGATTGGCGTAATTTTATGGTGTATTGGAAAAGAGATTTACAATATAAGGAAACAATTAAAAGTTTTTTGTCGAATAGCCAGTGGAAGAAATTGAGGATGGTATTTTTGGCAACTTCTTCCGATTACAAAGTGTGAAGTTCTCTGGTAAACTTATTCACTGTATTTTGCTTTCAGAAATTGTAAATAATGAACCTGATTCAATGACATTCAAGGCATTTGACCGTGAAATTAAGTTTACCCGTGACGCATTTCATATAATTACTGGTTTGAAGTCTTATTCGTCGCTCGACATTAAAGGTTTACATGAGAAAGAGAATAGGCTTTTAAGAGTCTATTTCTCTGGAAAGGATAGAATTGAGTTGGGTGATTTGTTTAGTTTTATTTCTAGTCACCCACATGGTACAACTTCATCATTTGTTGACAGCGATGATGATGCTTTGAAGCTGGCAACAATCTATTTTGTTGAATCTGTTTTGATGGGCAAGCAGAAGAATAGGAATGTGTCCGATCAGATAATGAAAATTGTCGACGATGATGCACTCTGCTCTTCCTTCAACTAGGGCTCTCTTTCTTATGAGACGCTATTAAAATCATTGAAGAGTTGTTTGAAGCTGAATGAGAATGAGATTGAGAAGGAGAAAGACAAAGATAAAGAGAAGGATAGCTACACTATAGTTGGCTTTCCTTTTGTCTTTTGTGTTTGGATTATGGAAGTACTTCCTATTTTCCAAGAAAAACAATTTGTGAACTTCAAAGAATTTGGTTATCCTCGGATGTTATGTTATTCTGAAATGAAGTCTCCACAGTTTGATGCTCTTTGTAGAAAATATTTCCATAATGAAAATATAAGTTAATGTAATTACTAACTATTTTTTTGTTTATTTGTTTTAGTTCTGAATACTTATGTTTACTTTTTCTTATATAATAGTTGTTTAAGTCGATCGAGGTGTCACCATTTATTCCTGTTGAAGAAGAAGATACACAGCCTCTTAGTGTGGAGGAGCCAATTTCACAAGATCAAAGCTCAAGGTCTTCTTCCACACAATTTGACGAAGCCATACTTAAGGAAATTGTTAGAGTATGTGTTTCTGCCTTTGAATAGTATTAGTTTTTTATTTGATTATTTCTTGCTTACGAACACTTTTTTTTTATTTTATTTTATGTTTTTTGATTCAGAGATTATCAGAGAGTTTTAAGAAAGATTTGCAAGCTGAAGTTACTAGAGTTAATCAGAAAATAGCTGTAGCAGAAAAAAAGATTGAGAATGAAATCATGGTAATTTCAGTTAGTCCAACTTTAGGACTTTGTGTCCTTAAATTTTGAACTTGGAATTGAAAGTTAAGCACTTCTTGTCCTTAACTTTTGAACTTGGAATTCAAAGTTAAGGACTGCATGTCCTTAACTTTTGAACTTGGAAATGAAACTTAAGGACTTCCTGTCCTTAAGTTTTGAACTTGGAATTTGTAACGACCCGACTGGTCATTTTGCATTTTCGAACCCCGTTCCCTTAAATAATACTTTCCACACTTGCTTTAGCTAATTTATGACTTGCGGGGACGGGTGGTTCGGAAGTTAGAAGAGTTTTGAGCAAGAATAAGCCTAGTTGCTTCTTTAAGTTTCTTTAAAAAGGCCAAGTTTGACTTCGGTCAACATTTTGGGGAAACGGACCCGGAATCGTGATTTGACAATTTTTGAGGGTCCGTGGGGAAATATGGGACCTGGGCGTATGCCCGGAATCGAATTCCGAGGTCCCTAGCCCGAGTAATGAATTTTTATATGAAATTGTTAAGTTTAAGTTTCTAAGATTTATATAAACCAAGAAATTATTGTTTTCCTAGGTATCGGGTTCGAATTTTGATTCCGAAACATGGTAAAAGTTCGAAATATCAGTTAAGACTTACCTGTAAAATTTGGTGTCAATCCGAGTGGTTTAAGGGCGTTTTGACCCGTTAGGAGGAAATTTAGAACTTGAAGGTTCAATGATTTGAATCATTTGGTTTTGGGGTTGATTCCCTGATTTAGTGTTGTTTTAAGCGTTTCGAGGGCTCGAGTAGGTCCGCCTCGTGATTTCAGACTTGTCGGTAGTGTTCGGGCGGGGCTCGGA